CGCACACACACACACACACACACACACACACACACACACACACACACACAGAATGTTCGCAGTCGTGTGTGTTTGTTGAGGCAGTATGCAGATGTCCCCATCTGTTCCCGTACATTTACCATTATGTATAAGCATGTTTTTTTCTTTCTATGCATGGCCATCCAGATTCATATTTACCAGGGAAAGATACGTGTAAGTCAGGTTGTACACCGATCAGTAGCAAATTCTTTGCCTTCCTTCCGCCTTCATTGCGCTGTGCTATGTCGTTCGTCTGCCTGCCTTCGTACACCCTGATAATCTTCTGTGGTAGCATCTCGTGACCGAGTTTAACAACTGAGTACACGCTTTCTCTAGCACGCCGTATTTCTGGAAGGAGAAATTTATTCACGCACATTCCTTACTACTCTTCTGGCACCCGATGCGTCCTGCATGGCACACTCCTATATCGCAAGATAATTTAGCCGCATGCGACTTTATCCTCCAACCCTATGTCCAACTTGAATAGAGAGCTGTTGTAGTGAATTTACTCGTGTGGCGTCTCTGTATACGTGTACGTGTGTTTATAAGCTAACTGCTAACTCTTCTCTACGTCCCTCGCGCCTGTTTGCGCTGTCTGTATTGATGTAAATCTCCATAGAGTGTATTGATGTAGGTAGATAGCTAGAACCCGATCTCAATTGTGTAGTGTACGTATATCCGTTTATATGTCTAACTCGGCTGTGGCTAATACTGTCTAATGTTTGTGGATATCTGTCTGGAAATCCTTAATAGAACATTCAAATAAAAGAAATGCCGGCGGAATTACGAAACATACAGCACGCGCATTCAGTAACTCCAATGTTTAATTATTAATCAAAACGATTGTATTTAAATCGATCTAGTTGATAAAGTCACGTTCTGAAAATTGGGTTCTATGCCCGGAACCGTCTCCGCTGTTGTATATTTGTGGCTGCGGTTGGTTTACGCAATACGAGGGAATATATATATATTTATATTTATATATATTTATATTTATATTTTTAGACGCGATTGCAATTCGCAGAAAATAAATCTTTTATTGGAAACAGTAATATGACGCCGCGAGTTTCTAGAATTGCATCGACTCCATCCGTCGCAAAGTTGTCGGGGAAACGCGATATATGCAGATCGGATAAACTTCGCGGATCGATGAAATAGCTTTATTCAATACTTTAGTCGATGAATCTTGCGAACAGTGTGCAATATAACTCTAAAGCAAAGGCTTTTTGATTGAGATATTTAAAGGATTGACACGTCGATCCTGGTTTGTGTGTTGCAACGCTGTAACCACGCATCTTAACCGTGCTTCCCCTTTTCTTTTTCGGGGCGGAGGATAAAAAGAATGAGCAAAATGCAGAGTTAGAAAAAGAGAAGGGGATAGAGTGTGTGTGTGTGTGTGTGTGAAAGAGAGAGAAAGGGGGAATGAGGGAGAGATAAAGTTAAAGATAGAGAGAGAGAGAGAGAGAGAGAGAGAGAGAGAGAGAGAGAGAGAGAGAGAGGGGTGGGAAAGTAACGAAGTGAAGGATTGAGAAGAGAATTTGACGTGCAAACTATGCAAGAGGTCGTAGCGTAATATTCGTTAGTCACCACGCCTAGATGCGCACAGATGGGAAGTTTCCCACAACCTGGTTCACGTACTTAGAGCTTGCCTGGAAGGGTTAACATAATAAGTTGCCGTTCCGAGCCGCAGGCACGCATCAGTCTACAGCGGCATGGCAGAACAAGGGAACACTAATTTCTGCCCCTTGATATTTGTAATAGAGGCATGCTATATAACCAAGGAGCTCGCGCTACAGCCTAATCTTCGCCGGCATTGTCCGAAATAGAGTTTCGTATCCAACGTGCGCGTAAAAAGGGCATTTAATCGAGTTTACATGTCTAAATAGTGCGCCCGCTCTGTGCGCCGTATTGTGTCTGGCGGTGAAATTATTCCTACGCTTGTCCTCGCGAGCATCTTTCCGATAAAATCTACCTTGCGCTAAGCATACACCGTGTCTAGTTAATTCCTACTCGCATCGTACCCCACGAATAAACCTATGGCTATAGAAATCGCGCTGCGCGAAACCCCTATTGTACTGCACTCAAACAATCCGAATATCATAAACATACTTCATACAACCGCCGAGTACATGAGATGAGATGAGATGTAAATTATGCATATATATTTCACGCACATGCAGGCGCACGCACAGACACGCACACGTACCTCACACATGCACTCACAACACAATAAATGGCTTATGCGAATATAATGTAGCTGCTATAAGCAGTTTATACATTTTCTAGTCTGCATACTATATAGCAATCCAATTAGTGTTACATATACTCTGAAAAGGGTCTCTGGTCCTCGAGTGGTGATAAAAATACTCGTTTGTTCTGCATGATGGCACTCATTTCGACAATTAAGGGACATTAATGTCACTGTGGGGCCATGAAGTTGCCCACGTAGAGCCAGTAATGCATAGAAAACGACGAATAATTGACTGTTCACCTTGGCAGTAAACAGACATATGCCACCTAATTATGACGGTGAGTGTAGGTTGCTGCTCTGAGGAGCTATGCTAGAGGAAATTTGCGGTCGGTCGGTGGCTAACTGCGCGCGTAACTATTATCAGAAGTGATGTAATATAATAGTATATAGATACAGATATAGATATAGATGTAGATGTAGATGTAGATATAGGTACAGGTACAGATACAGATACAGATACAGATATATATATATATATGTGGACATGGATATGAGCATAGAGATTGACCGTTGACATAGACATAGACATATATATGCATGGACATTGAAATAGACATACACATGGAAATAGACTGACATGGACTTAGATATACCACTATAGGTTCACATGCAGATATCTAGGCACAGATAATAATTATATAAATATAAAATGTAGCTACAGTCAATGTTATGCCACTACTGCTATTATTGGTCTAATGTGAAAGGCAGTCATCACATTATCAAAACGAATAGTGTGAAATACGTTGTTTATGCAAGTTTATGGTTATAGTATTTGTATGTGTGAGAATATGATACGTGCATATTTATAATGCCACTGTAATCTGCTCCTTATACCACAACGCAATTGCTTGCTTTAGCCGGTCGGGTGCGACAAGGTATTAGGCTCTTCGAAGAAAGTGGACCAGTGTGGCGTGTGTGGAGGGGACGGCTCCAAGTGTGGTCAACCAATGTTCCAGTGGAGACAGACAGACTTCTCTGCCTGCTCTGTAACGTGTGGAGGAGGTACAGATGGGTGATGAGAAATGAGTGCGGGAAGAGTATCTGGCTTTCATATCGCTCATACATGTTTGAGGAACGGTCTAGGATTTTTAATACTTCCATGACTACCCGTAACTTCTAGGTCGCAGGATGTGGTTTAGTTGGATTACTCTTGAAACCAATATTAAGCAAACCTTAGGAGCACTCCTATCGCCTTCTAAGGAATATAGCGCAGTGCGCCATAGATGAATATGTAACAGTTTCTAGTCGGGGAAGTAGAATAACGACTGCTGTACATTCAACACAGCATTCTAACGCGTGCAAGCTGTGCATTACTCATGAGAAATCGGACAAGCAGTAGATGTTGGAATTCGCGCCTACACTTCCCGTGCGTGTGCGTGTGCGTGTGTGCGCGCGCGCGCGCGCGCGCGCGCGTGTGTGTGTGTGTGTGTGTGTGTGTGTGTGTGTGTGTGTGTGTGTGTGTGTGTGTGTGT